TTCAATATATAGTTGGACTTGCATACTGTTCAAAGTATCTACAGTACTTTTTTTCAGTAGCTGTTTGTTTTACTAGTGTAACTACAAAAATAGTTTAATATTTATATGTTAAAAGCACATATGGTTCGAGGAAAGAACAAACATATTGTGCTGTAGCGATTGAGAATTTGGTTGGTGTTGGCTGCAGGGTCTGAAGCCGAGCCTTGATATCCTATGATGTGGATCAGCCGTCTTCATCTCAGTCTGGTCTGAATTTGATCTCAGGTGGGTGGGTGAGTAACGAGGGGACAATTAACGGCTTTTCCTCCCTCTTTTCACACCCTTTCTGCCAAATTAGCCTGTTCTCTGGTGTTAAAAATTAAAGTTTTAACATATAACACCTGTTCAATTAATGCCCAAGGAATTCAGAATAAAAGACCCCATTAATTACACACTCTCGGGCCGCTCCTAATACAACACTGATGGAGGGCCGGAGCCCTTATCCAAGCACCTGACAATACTTTGCAATCAAAGTGTTAAGGAATTAATTAAGGTTAGGTCTTTTTGAAAGCTAGGTGTAAAAGTTATCAAGGGCTCGTTCGTTTTTTAAGTACATTCATGTTGGTCTAAAAGCGTTCTCAAAGGAAATGTCTTTCATGAACGTTTCGGATTTCATTAACTTGCTGCTTTTAAAATTACTAGGATATGTGAATGACCCTATTGATTTGTGTGTGTGATGAGATCCACAGTCAAATGTTAACACTAAAGTTCCAATTCAGGTTCATTTGTTATTATTTCACTTAATAAAACTAATTCGGACTCTGTGTTAGGTCAGTTTTACATCATTACGGATGTTGGTGGCCAAAAGTTGAGTTGATGATTTGTTTAAAAACACTGATTCATTTAGACATTGCTATATATGCTATAATTGTTTATTTTGACATATGCTATAATTTTGAGATGTTTAAATTTTTACTTTGTTTTGTTAATGCAGTTGATAGGCATTATGGTGGTTTCAATTAGGAGAACAAGGAAGTAAACTCTACCTCTTACCATCTTTAATTTCAACCTTTAAAGATGCATAAGCTAAAAATCGCCTGATCTAGCTTTTCCCTGTGATAAATATCCCACACCCTGCCCTGTTAGGGGGAGCCGATGTTTATGCGAGACATTATACGGGTGTTGGTATAGATTACTACAGATCGTAGAGCAGAGTGTGCAAAATGTCTTCCATATGATATTCACATATTCTAAACCAGATATTATGTCTGTCAATCATTCAACTCATGAAAATTTTCACACAAACCACCATTTCCATTTTTGTGTGTGCCCCTCAAATAATAACTAGCATGAGTTTGCAACAAACTTTAAGACTTTAATAGAGTAATACAATCAAGTTTTATGCAAGTAATAAATGATAAATTAATCTCATATGACTCAACTTTTAACACAGGGCCTGTTGAAAAGTTTCCTCAGAGTTTGGGGTGGAAATATGTTTTTTATTCTTACAAATAAAAGCTTGTGTGCATTAGAATAATGTAATTTTAGTAAAGGAACAATGTGTGCAGTATCGTCTAGGGGACATGTTTTTTGCTCCCAGTTGTTTGGCAAATCGAGAAATACTGAACTTCACTTAACACTAACTTGATCAATTTGCTGCATAAAATGCCAGTGGAGCAAATGAAACCCGAAGAAAAAGGCCAGAAATAACACACGCACACACACGCACACACACAGCTGGATAATGGACACAGGTGAATTTTGATCCACTATGTTTCATCTTGATATGTACTGATTCTTTAATTTTCAGCATGATTAAAGTTTTTTGACTTACATTAGATGTCATGACAGCTCTCAGACAGGCATGGGAATGGGAATAGATGGAGATGTTAAGCTATTTGGTATTTGCAGAATACATCTGCTACGCTGCTGCTGCAGCAGAGCAAGTATAGACGTTGTGAGCACGCAAGACATGTTGCTACTTCTGCACATGTAACGTGTGAAATAACGCAGGTAAAGTAGATCTATACAGGTGGAGCTGGGGGAAGGAGGCGGGTTTCTGGAAGCTTGCTGCAGGTTGCTAGCAGTGTTGTAGTCGAGACCACCTCACTCGAGTCCGAGTCGACACCGAGACCAGAGAGAGTCGAGTCCGAGTCAAGACCGAGTCCATAGAGAGTCGAGTCCGAGTCGAGTCCGAGACCAGAGACGGTCGAGTCCGAGTCAAGACCGAGACCAGTGAGGGTTGATTACCTTATTAACTTTTATTTACTTAGAGAAATCCTTTTTTTTTTTTTACTGAATTTACTTAGAGTTTAAAAAATATGATCAGTTTAGGGTAAAAAGGCCACATAGTAGGTGGTGTTAAAAGTAATTTTATTACAATTTGTCATGCGCAGTTGCGCGCTAGAAAATCACCAATCACTGGGCGTGTCAATCAATTTAAAGAAATATTTTATTAACATACATTAATAATCAGGAAAAATATTTTTAATTGAACTCAAGTGGACTCGGGAATAATTCGGAGTCCTAAAAAAAAAATGTTCGAGTACGAGTCAATTCCGAGTCCAAATGGCAGAGGTGTGGACTCGAGTCATGTGACTTGGACTCGAGTCAGACTCGAGTCATGAATTTGATGACTTCAGACTCGACTTGACAAAATGTACAAAGACTTGCAACTCGACTTGGACTTTAACATCAATGACTCGTGACTTCACTTGGACTTGCGCCTTTTGACTCGAGAAGACTTGCTACTTCCCATGAAAACTGGGGAAAAAATTTTTCACACGGCCGCGCCCGCGTTTATCTGCATCTGTGAAAAAAATGCGCGCCGTCACCTGTATGCATGCAGAGAGAACGCGGCAACGCGCGCTGCCTGCACGACATCCAATCACTGTAGTCCCATGTTTTTTTGATTCGACAGCAAGACAACCTATGAAGCGCAACAAGCACCAACGCGCCAGTTGGCAAAATGATACCGAAGGTAGTTTCTTTTGGCTATAAAAATTACGAGCTAGTCGACAAAAAACGAGTTGCAATTTGCAAAACATGCGGGTCGAAGATTACAGACGGAGCTGCCACAACGTCCAACTTTGTTCGACACCTGAAGTTGCACAAAGAAAGGTAAGTTTTGAATGAATGATAAGCACCTTATAGGATGTACCGTACTAGCTAGCTGCTGCATATATTTACTCTAGCCTATCAACGAGACAGTAAACGCACGTCTCTCTTGCTGGTTCATGCTTACAAAAATAGGTATTTTTGAACCCGGATTATATGAAGTAGATGAGTGTAGCACACTCAGATGGAAAACCTTGCCAACATCATGTCAACGTCCGTTTTAAAGGACAATTTCTACCTTGCTGCTAGACGGATAAACACAAATGTATATCTCAGTCTCTCCAATACACAGGGGCGTAGAATTTAGTAGGGACGCTAGGGACGTGTCCCTACCAATATCCAGTGACACTAATATATCCCTAGCAATAATTTCGATCAAAACTCAAAATTTATTTATAAATTGATTAGGGCTGGGCAAAAAAATATATTTTTCGATTTCGATTAATCGTTTTTTAAAATGTGGTCGATTCAAAATTGATTCTCAACGGCCACGAATCTATTTTTTTCCATATTGAGGACTCGCGGCGGTGCTGCGTCTTCTCTCTCTGCACTTGGCAAGCGCTACTGCAGGTACACACTTGAAATCGGGCAAGCATCGCACCGGTAACTATCGTTTATCATTGGATTACCAGTTTAAACATTCAAGCAATGTTAAACCATCCCCAGCTCGCGCACTCTCAGAGATGTCTTTCACTGCGCGCACATATAAAGCCTAAATCCGCCTCACAAACAGCTCGCCAGAAACAAAAGTGTTATCCCTGGATTATATCGCTTTAACAGTTAAAAGCAAAATTATGTCAAAACTGTCTTGGTGAGTAACCTCGTAAAGACAGTCGGTTATGTCTTAAATTAGCATTAAACGCATGTGACAAAGTTATAATGAAACACAGTAATGGATTCGCGAACTAGTTCTTAAAGTGAACGCAGCCATAAGTGTCTGCCATTAATTCTGTTGTCATAACAACATAATATAGCATTAATTGTAAGCAATCAGAATGAATAGCCTATGTATTTAATTCAGTCTGGACTAAAAAGACTATCAGTGTTATTTTACATTGGATTACTTTATACTTAATACTTTAAACTACCCTAAAATGTTTCTTTATTTGTGTCTTTAGTTTTTTTTTGTATTTATTTGTGCTACTTTTTCAATTTAATTCAAAGATTGAAATCAAGCTTCCATGTGCATCTTGCATCAAAATCCTGTCCATTCGTTGTATGCATTTAGGCTAGTGTACCTAAAATAAAGAGTTTTACAGAAGTTTTGCAATATTGTTCTAGTGCAATATGCTTTTTTTTACTGTATTTGATTAATGTCGTATAAATAAATACAAATCTTACAGACATACATGATTTGTATACATTTTCTGTGGTAAGAGGACTTGAAATGACTCGAAACTAAAATGGTAGGACTTTGGACTCGACTTGAGACTTGTTGGCTTTGACTTTTGACTCGACTCGGGACTTGCCTCATCTTTGACTCGACTTGACTCGAGACTCGAGGGCAAAGACTTGAGACTTACTTGTGACTTGCGTAACAATGACTTTGTCCCACCTCTGCCAAATGGACACGAGTCCATGACAAGACCAAGACCATTAAAATATGGTCTCGAGACCGAGTCCGAGACGAGTCCGAGTCTCGAGTACTACAACACTGGTTGCTAGCGGTAATAGTTTGAACATTGAGCCGCAGTTTATTAGCCGCTGATACAGCAGCAACCAATCAGATATGTAGATGACAATACAATTGCTACCAAATGATCAGCCTGCACCATCTACAGTTTCATGTTAGAACTTGGTAATGCAAATGTGTGTTTTTTTTGTGTGGAATTTAACAAAAATTGTGGAATAGAACTAAAATTACCAAAAATATGGACTCTATGCTGTTTTTTGAATTTAGAATCATGATTCACAGCTGTGAGACAATAGCGAATTGTCAATAGCGAATACAGCAGCATAGGACTTTCACCCATGTGAAGACATTTTTGGCTGCTGTTGTGCTGCAGAAGGGGACTGCAAAGATTTTCTTCCCTTGTCCATCGCAAAGATACTTTTCCCACCTCTCTTATCTGGGGGGTGGACACTCCTGGGGAAGTTTCCACCAAAATTATCACCCCAGCTTTATCAGTGGAAAAGGACCCCAGTGGAAAAGGATGTGTTCCTCTAACATTGGGGAGGGGGTCAGTGATATCTGCACAGCCTGTTGTTAAGAACAAGAGTTTACATCACATATACAGCTTAAGCTGTGGTCACATTTTCCGTTGTTCTGTGAAATTTCACGGGCAAAATACAGTCAAGACTTCTGTGTGAGCTGTACTTCATACATCGCCACACTATTGACATTGGATTTTTTTTTTGCATGCATGCATGCTTGCACAATTTCAATGAAATTTCAGTAATATAAACACACTTGTTAGAGGTCTCTGACCAATAAGTATCAGAAAGTATTCCACAGAGCTGTGTACTATATAGTAACATGACAAGGCATTCAATTCTGCTTTGCTAAAGTTGTGCGACATCCGGGATCTGATGATGCAGTTTTTTGTAACGTCATTTGACACCGTTGGAAAGGGTCAACAAATCGGGGACTGCTTTACAGTGGATGCACGCTTGATGAGGATTAATCACTGAGATTGACCGTTCTTGAGTTTACCATTCGCCAAAGAATAGTAGCGCACAACTGGAAGATCAGTGCTCATCCACTAGGATCATATTACTTCTTACTTATTTTTTACATATTTACACATGCAAAGTATTTCTCATGTTCATGTATTTGAGTGATTATTGTCATGTATGCAGGATTTTTCTTCTTTCCCACAAAAAAACAAACAAAAAAAGGGGTGAGTCAGCCGTCAATCTGGGTTGCCAAGTCAGTGCCACATTTCACCCTTTGTTACCCTCTGTTCACAGGTCCTCCAGGTAAACGGGGAAGGAAAGGAAACCCTGGTGAGTACCTGTACATTACACACACATTTGTACACATCTATAGTTTAAAAACGACCTGAACCTAACCTAAAATTACAGCAAAACAAATGTTAAGCGATGTTCAGCTGGATCCTCATATGTGTCCCAGGCCTTTCGTTCTTCATGTCATATTTGATTTGTGTTTCTTTGAGGAACCATTGACCAGATGGAAATGCCCGTACATATTACGCGGTTTGAAAAAGATATTTTTTCTTTGGTAGTCTAGGTGACGTTTCTGTTATATTGATCAGTGTGGGTCGAAAAGAGAAGTTCTCCTCATCATCAGTCATTTTCCCACCATGCTGTTTGTTTTACCGCTGATCTCTTAACCTCAGAAACCTGAGAGTGCTTTGAAGTTAATAACACCATGTTCCAACAGGAAAAAAAGATTATAATTATGATGAAGCTGCATATGTAGTGCTTAACCTCAACAGAAATCAATGCCTTTCAGTCTGTCACAATCTGCTCCGAGACACGAAGGTTGAGATCCAAATGCAACTTTAATAGGGACATGTAATCCAATAAACAGGCAATAGGTCAGAACACAGGTAGGCAGTCCAAACAAACAAATCAGGCAGGGGTCAGAGGCAAAAGAGTAATCCACAGAACAGGGAAGAAATCCAAAAATCATTTCATTTTTTTTTTTTTGTTAGGGACAATGCTCACTGCTCAACAAACAACCAGGCAGTTCAGGTGGCCAGAGTGGACCAGAGAGTTTAGGTCCTATTCTGTTCCTACCTAGAGTTATGAACATATAATTAGGGTTGGGTATCGAGAATCCAGTATCGATTGGAACCGAGACTAACTTTTCGTTTTTCCCGGAATCGTTCAAAAGTAAAAATTTCGATTCCTAGTTTCGATATTCACAGTCCGCCGAGCGGAAGAAGAAACCGCTGAACAACACCAACGAAGAAGCGTCTACCGGAAGTGTTGGCATAACCACGTGAGTCGAACATGAGTAGCTTACGTCGATGATCCAAAGTGTGGCTTCACTTTTCTAAAAATAACGAAATCTCGGCAAAATGCAAAATTTGTGACAAAAGGAGTATTTTTACAGAAGGATTATTTCCTTCAGAAAGGCCGTTGGTTAGCAAGGTTAGCTAAACTTTTTTGACCCTGCCTCTTAAAAGAATCGGAATCGAGAATCGTTAGGAACCGGAATCGAAACAAGGAATCGGAATCAGAATCGTTCAAATTCAAACGATACCCAACCGAATTCAGGACATGTAATTGTCTTGCAAACCTGGCTTGAACACTCCTTTACACTTGCAAAAATGTATTGTGCAGCTCTGTTTACTGACAGCTCTGGTCAATTAAATGGCTTTTATAGTCCCTCGTATGCAATATAAAGTGGATTGTTCTGTATCTGGAAACCTTATGCGTAACGCAACGGCCCATTTCGGATTAATTCTTCGGTGGGAGGTGGCAGTAAATAAGGGAGATGTTTTTTTTTCTCTCTCTGCCGTAGGGCTGCTGCTCTGGTGGTCCAGTACATTCAGTGGCATGCTCAATATGTTCGTCTTCAGTTTTATTGTCACATTCATGTAAATGATCATGCAAGACGAGTGCTAATGGACCAAATTCATCACATCACGCTTAGCATGCGGACAATGATGCGCTAACAGTGTCTTTGTTCTGAGTGTGATGACTTTGGCGGTTGATGGGAGGACTAACAACCTCCAAAACACACAGCCTGGGGGCCATAAAAAGCTCCTTTCTTGCCGCAGGAGTCTGGGTGACCTAAACTTGACACAGTGGGAATCTCCTTTCCTCCGTTCACCATGACAGAGACGGGTCAAATCTCCCACATGGCCATGTGACTGAAAGCACTCTTATCACCACAGCCATTTGTAGGAGTTATCGCTTGTCTACTTGGCTCTCTGATCTTGTCCGGGGCAGATCTGGATCCTCCCAGCACCGTTTGTGTCTCCGGATCTATTCAGTGTCACATTCCACTCCATATCAGATCCCTCAGGCAACAGAGCAGCGAGATATGCCAATGACTGTCTTGTGCATTATATTCATTGTGCTGACCATAAGTGAGGAAAGATGTGCAGCACAGGAAATAGCAACCTAGATGTCTACTTATGATGCCTTTGACACTTCATAAAGGGTTACTGCAGGAGCTTGACCTATTCACGAACTCCTGCACATTTTCCATTGAGAGCAAGATTCAGCTTTCACTGGTATACCGCATGATGTTGCATAGCTGAATTGATTCGCCATTAAATCAAAATCATAGATGTGAACATAAATGTGAGCTTATTATTACACAAGAATGTTTTTATGGACACCAGGATCATTCCCACACTACTGGAATGCGTTGGATTTCTTTCTTGCCTGAAATCATTAAGGATTCTCCAAATTCACAGACTGTTGAAATCTGTTAAGCTTGCACCGAATGAGCGCCATTAAACATGTATTTCTGTAGACATTTTGGCCTTCTAAGTGCAAAATATCTGGTAACGCGGAGCCTCCCACTATGTGCAGTTATTCTTTTACAGCTCAGAAGACTTAATAGAGTTCTCGGCTATGTTTCATTTTAGTGTCAACTTTGTCTTAGATGTTTCTCATAAAATTCCTTTGCAAAAATAAAGCTCGACACAAATGAGACAACTGTTCACATACGGCAGGAGTGCAGAGCTATAAAATGAGCTGCTCTGAAAATTGGATCTTAGAAGAATGTATTGAAAGCTTGAGTTATTGAAAACTAAGTGCTTATAACGCAGACTTTGGTATTTTGCAAACCTGGACATGATTTAAGACATTGTTTATACCTCTTATGAAACTAAAGACTCTCGTCTCAGATTAAGTATTGAACGTTTTTGTTTTGAATTTGACTGATTTAACGGGATAGTTCACTCCAAAGATGAAAAATCTGTCATCATTTTTCCTCAATCTGCCTCAAGTTTTTCCAAACCTGTATGAATTTCATTCTTCTGCTGAACACAAAATATTTTTTTGAAGCAGAAAAAAAACCCTCAAATATGTTTGGTACAGCTTGAGGGTATATAATGTATATTATGACAATATATATATATATATATATATATATATATATATATATATATTCGCACACAATATAATTAAAAAACACATTAAATATATTAATTATATTAATGTATATTCTTTAAAAACACTTTTTAAATGTTAATTAATATGTCAATTTAATAATAAAATAATAATATAATTGATACACAAGTCAAGGACAAGTACAAATCTTAACTGCTAGGCCATTCAAATATTTTAATTTTAATATTTTAATGAATGAATCACTTATTTCTTTTCATTTCCTTTTCCTCTTCAGAACATGGTCATTGATAACAGAGCATATTTAAACAAAAAATAATAAAAACAAAATCTCAGCATGTTCAAAAGAGAAGAAAAAGAATGTAGAAAAAAAGGATATTAATATTAATATAAGGAAATTAATTAAAATATTAATAATATTAATTATTAATTATATTAATGTATATTCATTAAAAAACACTTTTTAAATGTTAATTAATATGTCAAGTTAATAATAAAATAATAATATAATTTATACACAAGTCAAAGACAAGTACAAATCTTAACTGCTAGGCCATTTAAATATTTTATGTTGAGTCCTGCACTTCCTATATAGGCAGTGCTCAGAGTTGCCCACCCATTCACTTTTTTTTAATCACACACAGACTTTTGCCAAATCTGGAGTTGCTGAAAAGTGGAAAAGAAACAAGGGTCTATTTATATCTGTGCCGCCATCCTTTGATTGATCAATGTTGAGCCAGAACCAGGTTTTTGTGTATGTAGATATACAGTAATGTGTGTTGTGTTTGTGCGCACTGACCTCATTGACTCTGGTATCTAAAGAGATACATAGTTTTACATCTTCATGTCGACAGAAATGAGACAAAGTGTCATTTATTGCCATAGGATTAATGTCATGCACACAGTATTGCATGACGCTTACTCTTCAGCGCAACAAATGGTTGTGACTTACATACAACTGTTTGTCTTTCTCTGTTTCAGGAACTCCAGTAAGTACCCCGTTATCACTGAGGCTTTAATTCAGAACAAATGTGAGTTGGTCTGGAGTTGGGCAGATGTGAGTTGGTCCGTGTTGGCCACTCTTCTGCTTGATATAGACTGCAAAATGAGGTGAGATAAGAGGGAAAGGAGGATATATGCTCCAGGAGACAGTTTCTGAATCGATCACACACCATTTTTCACTGTCTGGCATCCATCCTGACCGCCCGTATCCTAATAACCAGACGTGCCTTTAAAGATCCAACAGCTGATACAAATCTCTTCATGCATTCGCACTGAATGCATAGTAAACACTAGTCATCTATATCCTCCCTATACTAACACTGTAGCAGCACAATAATCTTTTATGGCTTTGGTTGCGTCATATTTCTCAATATGAACAGAAAGCCACAGTAATAAAAGAGAAGAGAGAGTAAATATGCATGGTTGCCCCAAACACGTTCCATTTTTTTATGAGCTATTTGTCACACAAGTATGTTTATGTATTGTAAACACACTGTTAAAGAGAACAATGCAGTATGGAGCACTTTGTACTTATATGAAGGTTGGGATGTGAACACATTTATTATTATTACTATTATAAATTCATATTTTGTTTTAATTGTAATGATTTTTTTTCTTCAATAAATCCTAACAGGGCATTCCAGGACGAGATGGCTACCCGGTAATTGTCACTCTGGTTCTACACTAATCACATCATGCAGTACTTGAGGACTCGTTCAGACCTCAGCTGATAGGCAGTGTTAAGTGTCGTAGTGCACCACCTGCTGGACATACATATATATATTTTTATTGCAAGTTAACAAAACATTATAATTTATACAAAAATAAGAGATCAGTGAATTATGTATACATACAAAAGAGAGAAAGACGTACATGGAGTACATACACGGTAGGCAGAACAAAAATAAGCAAAAGAAGAGAAAAAAAGGAAAAGAAAAACAAAGACAAAACATGTATGCAAGTACATTGGTTTTTTTCTAAGCAATGGGATATTTTAGAGATTTAGATAGAAGCAATATTGAGATATTCATGGTAGTTGTGATAGAATTGTAGTAGAAGGCAGTATTCATATAAATAATTATAACTATAACATAGATAAGAATAGTAGTGATAGTAGTGGTAACAGTGGCAACCAACAGCATTCATGATAATAATAGGAGTAGTAAGAATGGTAGTAGAGCTGTGATAATGATAATAGTAATTCATTATAATAATACATATTACAATTAATAATACATATATATTATAAGTAATTATAATAATACATATAGATCAGTAAATACAATTCTTGTGAATATACACTATTCTCTAGGCCTGGAGCTGCTCTACCACCTGCTGGACATATAACAAATATACAAACAATGTTTTTTGTTTGAAGGTCAATAAAATTCATCAAATGGATGCCAAGAAGCTTGTCCTTGGCTTACATTTTGAGTAAAATAGTTTTTTGGGGGGGTTAGATGGGGCTTTTTTTTTTTCCATAAAGGTTTTCATATGGGACTTATAGAATTGCATGCATATACAATGCATTACAATCCATCTATATAAAGTACCTACCTATTAAACTTCAGAAAGATTAGTTCAAATTAATTTTAATTAGTAATATCAAATAAGCTAATTTATTCTTATTTGAATAAAGCTATTATTATATAACAATACTTATTCTCAAATCCAGTTATTAACCCCTACGCCAACACAAATCTTACAGAACAGAGAACTATTGTTCTTTCCAATAGTTTTGCTTTTAAAAGAGGCATTAGGTGCGTGAAGCCTCCCTGACAGGCCATCGCAATCCAGATGCGATCAGTTGCATGCGTTGGCAGCCTCCGCTCCGCATAAAGATCAACTGGGAAATATAGCCCTGTGTGAAGTCTCTCCAAGCATAACAAGAGAGCTGCTCCGAACTGAACCGTGTGCAGGACTGCACCACATGTGGCCCTTACCGGATTTCCAACTGCACTCCGAACCATCGGCACACAAGTCATCCGTTTCTTTTTGCTCATGCCGAATAGACCGGCTGCATGCTCTCTTGTCACTTGTCCGTTCTGAAAGCACAAGCACACACTATTAGGCCAAGACAGACAGCTCTATTGTCTGTGGTTTCTGGCTGTGTTGGTCTGGATAAATACACACAAGGAGAGAATGATCAGAAATCTGTTTATCATTTTGTGTATATATATATATATATTGGTCTAATTTTACAGTGTGTATACAACATTATGTTGACACATTATTTTAATAGCTATTGCATTTAGAGCTACCAAGCTTGTTCTACATTTATCATGACCTTTAGCTTCAGGAATTTTTTTAAGTCAGAAAGATTAGCACAATTAGTTTAGTTTAGTATGTTTCACAGGTCAAAGAGCTCTGTGCACAGACCCCTTTCAGCACCTTCAGTGCCATGGACAGCGACCTCCCGTCCTCTAGTCTGAGCTTACTGAGGCCAGTGATGATGATGGACTAAACTTGTCATTGCTCTAATCATTTATAACAAAGGTCAAATAATTAAATTATAATATTTAGTTGAGACTCCACCAAAGATAAAGTTAAGAAGTCATATTCCACATTAAAATGTTAATTAGGTTAAAGTCGCCATGAAACAAAAATTAACCCGATGTATTTTCTAAATGCATGTCGCTGAACATATTCTAAACGATTCATCCATGCATATTATTTCATAATTTTTTTTATCAAAATGTCAACGTAAACTTCCAAGGATGTATGCTGGACTTCTCCAATCATTAAGATCTGCCTCCCCATTTGATCATTCATTTTATTAGGATAAACGTCACAATATGGAAGAAATAAATGGAAGAGAAAATTAAAATCTAATGCACAAGTTTATGATTTCCATGAAATAAATGTAATAACTCAATGTCCTTTTCTCTCTCTGTCTCTTCAAGGGTCCATTGGGTCTGGATGGCAAGCCTGTAAGTACTATCTTCTCTCGGGGTACAGTTTTTTAAACCAGATCATATTGCATCAGATCAGTTTTTAACATCACTGTTTGTACTATGAGTGTATATTTATTGTTGTATTGCATACACTGCTCATTATACTGCAGAAAATTGAACTTCTCTCTCCTTATACTAGGGACCTCCAGGACAAAAAGGCAGTCAGGTTAGGTTCTTTATCATTTCAGTCTAAAAAGTGATTTAATTATTGTGTGTTGCCACCTGTGTTGTGGAAAGTTTTATAGGTAATGCACTACAATACTACGTTGTTCCCTAAAAAAGTAACTAATTGTGTAATTTAGTAACTTTTAATGGAAAGTAATGCGTTACATTACTTTAGCGTTCATTTATTTCTCACATGGGCAGGGCTTGCTTGTTTGTGTTCAAAATAAATATCTATTTTTGGCAAATGTAAATAAATATCCTTTCACACCAAATGTGAAATGAATGAGCCTCAGAGTGAAATAAATGCACATTGACACCTGTACAGTAGAGGGCGCAGTAAAAAAAAACAAAGATTAGGATTCAGAAGTTCAACAAGCTTACTTCAGCAATACAACGAAATAAGAAAAAAAAAAAGAAACACAAATGTGATGTTTATCGAATGTCTTTTTTGCTTATTATGGTTGAAATGGATCAACGAAGGTCAGCAGGAAAGACATTGGTTAATAAAGTGAGATTAAATACATAAAGTATATTTTGTTATTTAACATTTAATTATTGCATGTTTGTATAATATTCTGAGTTCGCATTTCACTGTTTTTATTCATTTTGAGTTTTACTGAATCAAATGAGTAAATGCCTGCTTACATTTAGTCTAGAACTACAATAACCATCATGTTCACACAGTGCACACAACGCCTCTGCACTTACTCACGATTTCACTCATCAGCCTATGATGGGAAAACAAAGTAACTTGTGCTACTTATTTGCAAAAGTAACTCAAATATTTTGTTGTAAATATAAAAGTAACGTGTTACTTTACTAGTTACTTGAAAAAGTTAATCTGAGTACGTAACTTAAGTTACTTGATTCATCCGTGCTGTGAAAGTTGATAATTTCGTGAATAACTGCAATTGCAGATTTTGAACAGAGATGGCGACAAAGAGGAAAAACTATGGACTGCAGCTTTAAACACACTAATTATTGTATTTCATGATTATATATTGTATTTCAAAGATGCAATTTATTACCATTACTAAAAACACCATCCAAAAGGAGATACATTGAAATGCATGTTTTTTCAACATTACTTCTCTTTACAAATTTGAAGGCTGCTTAGTGGCTGATTTAATCAGGGACTGTAAAGGTTACATTTTGTAACTACACATTACAGAGGACTTGCCTACTGGCTTTCTGGCTTGGTACAACCAAATGAAGTACAGCATTAGTTACAAAATAACTAGTAGTTACTAAGAACCCACTTGTGGTCTTTACTTACCCAATTTCATTGACTTTACCAATGGCTAGTGCAATCATATCCAGTTCTCTTGTCCTCCACTTATACTCATATATGTGTTTACATGGGGGAGGCCAGGCAGGGCCTCAAAATCACTGTTGTGGGAGAAATGAACTCTTTTAAAACCCATTCGACGGGTAAACATTGGAGCAATTAATTGCTCAGAACTGCACACAAGTTGGGTGAAGCACATCAATGAAACACCAACAGCTTTCGCCTGTTATGTCCAAGTTTAGAGTCACTGGTTCAAAAATCACACTCAAGAGGATGGATGTTTTCTTGCTAAAAGCAAAAGAGCACTTTAGTCGAGTGTTTACTTCAAGGACCATTGAAGATTAAAGAAAAGAGGGGCGAGTTTTTGACTGGGCATACATGAAGAAGAGGGTCTGCATAAACCACTTTACATAACAGGAGAGATCTCAACCTTATGTAAATGTTCTCCATGTGTTAAGTCAGAATCATCTAATGTAGCTTCTCCATCACAATCATAGCATCAGAGGATGAAATCAAGTGAATTATTGAGTGCCATCATTGTTGGGTCCAACATTAACAATCTCTAATCCAGTCCATTTTTTTACAACATAATTCTGGCATAAACTGTAATGATAAAACTCCAGTCCGAAGATCAAAGGTGACAAAAACCCTCCCGAGATTCCTGCTGTACCATTTTGTAATTCATAATTTTGAGCTCAAGTTAACATTGAGTGCACTTAGGACAAGAATCTCATTTTTAACATACTTTTAACAATACCAAGACAACACTACTTTGACTACTGAGAAGAAGTTCTTATGAAACCACACTCAAAATTACAGTGCTTGAAAAGCCATAGTGAACACGACACCACAGAGCATGATGAAACTGTGATGATCAGAATGTGTCTTGTTGTTTTTGTGGTCTAAAGCAAAGTTTCCTGCATAGACCACTGAGCAGAATAAAACCAGAATAATATCATCCATTCCCTCAAACCAGCTGCACACTCGTGAAATAAAAGCTCTTGTATGCAGAAATATTTGCTGTCATCAAGAATGGAACGTCATCACATTGTTTTATCTTCACTATTCGAAATCCCTCTCTTTGTGATAAATTATTGTTTTTCACTTAGCCAGCAGTTCATTCAAACACTCAGATTCAACCTCTAAAACATCTGCCAGTCATTTTTGAAGGTGTAAGTGGTGCGACTTGTGGTTTGCAATGGAAATATCCTGCATTGTTGAGAACAATTTATAATCTGTCACTTTAAATCTTTCTCTTCTTTTGCCAGGGAATGCCAGGACCAAAAGGAGATAAGGTAAACTCACCCCACAACACATTCCAGCATGATAAATGTACAATTTATTGGATCCATCAAAGCATAACAATGACATTATTGCTCTAACTGAAGCATTTTACCCAATGAGATAAGTAAGTGCTAAGGGTTGCTCTCTCCACAGGGTGACCAGGGAGACATGGGACCCAGGGTGAGTGTCACGTCTCATTTTTTTTGCTCAGTTTCTTCAGAAGCCTGAGTTTACAGAGGTTGCACTGATCTAAGGATCCCTCTTGACCTGGAAGTCAGTTGAAGCCGCTTCCTTTCAGATGACAGGGCTCGGTTGTTATCGGTCTTACATTCTGATGTTGATAGAAGTTAGATCAACTAATTCATATTACAACCTCAATATGGTATCAATCACTGTCTGTATGCCTCCACCAAGCCTGTTTCGCCTCATCCACAGGGAAAAAACGTGAGCCTTGACAAATCAGGAATCCGTCAGTGAAGATCGTACCACTTCTCTATCTATATCTACTAAAGCTATCGTTTAAATTATTTGGCTCCCCGTGCTTCTTTTCCACCATACCTCACGACCATTCAGCACAATTAGAAACATGTGCTTTGGCTGCTCTCTTTCTTTATGTTAAGAACATGTGTTGTATGCACTACATTGTTTTTGCTTCACGCCATCACAGTCTGACAGTAAAAAAATGAACCAAATCATTCGAAGTGGCGACATGAGCAGTCAGGAAAAGGAAAACAGCATCTCCCATGGGCCGTGTTCCTCTTTTTGTGTGGATGTAAGAGTCAAATTAGTGCTTTTTCAACTCCAGTTAAGCAGGAGGAGTATGACCCCTTGGAATCCATTAAAGCTCTCATGAGACGATGGCCCCTTGACCTGGAAGTCGATTAGAGCCGTGTTTCCTTCCAGATGGCAGGGCTAGGGTTTGTAGTGCAGGTGGATAGTTGACCTTATGCTTACTCTTGAATTGTGACTTTTGCCCTATGCCCAGACACAGAAGAAGCAGATCCGACTCACAAAGTAGTCTTTGTGTCATTGGAGGTAGCTGAGAAGAAAGTCCTGTGTAGGGTTGTGATGTGAATACGGTTTAAATTCCAGTTCGGTTCATGAATTTGAATTGAGGTTGCAAACAGGATGCAGAATTGCAATGAATGAAAATTTAAAGAACTTCTCATAACACATATTAATTAGAAGCCAAGTTAAGTTTGAATGTTGACTTGACAAAGACGTATTTGAAAGTTCTGGGGAAAGAAAGTGAGAAGTTTGAAGGTTCATAGTCAAGGCCTTACTGATATGTTGAGATCATAGCATTGACTTGCCCCCCAGAAAATCTCTAAAAACAACATAGAAGACCCAAGCAACAAACTATAAACTACTTAGAAACTGCATAGTAATATTTCAGAAACAACCCAGCAAACACAGAACGTTCCCGAATGGTCCCACCATGAGGTTATTTGTTTGGGAACCAAACAAGAACGTTGTAGAAACGTTCCATGTAGGTTATTTTTAGGTTCCATTTTTATAACGCAAGGAGAATGTTCCAGGAACGTTCCCTTAACCTTAAAGGGTTAGTTCACCCAAAAATGAAAATTCTGTCAATATTTACTCACCCTCATGTTGTTCCAACCCCGTAAGACCTTCGTTCATCTTCGGAACACAAATTAAGATATTTAAGAAATTAAGGTCACTCCATGCATACTAGTCCATAGGCTTCTTGAGGGAATGACTTGCGGTCCTCGAAAAGCTATTAAAGACATCGTTAAAATAGTCCAAGTGACTACAGGGGCTCAATCTTAAGTTTATCAAACGACAAGAACACATTTGTGCGCAAAAAAACAACAAAAATAACGACTTTATTTCAACTATTCGTTTATTTCTCCCTCTGCGCGAGTCAGGTTACTAGTTTAATAGTGTAAGCTTCTGTTATTGTACGTCACACGCATCACACACATGACCAGTGTCGGCCAATAGTGAGCCTACGTGTGACGTAGCTTTACGCAATCACACTACGTTAACTGACTACAGGCCCATGGAGAAGGAGGTGAATAGTTGAAATAAAGTCCTTATTTTTGTTTGTTTTTGCACACAAAAAGTGTTCTCGTCGTTTGATAAAGTTAAAATTGAGCCACTATAGTCACTTGGACTATTTTAACGATGTCTTTAATGACTTTTAGATGCCAGCAAGTGTCATTCCCTCAAGAAGCCTATGGAGTAGTATGCAGGAGTGATCTTAATATCTTAATTTGTGTTCCGAAGATGAACGAAGGTCTTACGGGGTTGGAACAACATGAGGGTGAGTAAATACTGACAGAATTTTCATTTTTGAGTGAACTAACCCTTTAAGAGAAAGTTCTAGGAACGTTCTGGGAACCAAAAACTAACGTTCCCAGAACCTAAATTTGTTTGTTGGGAATGAACATCAACTTAGCATCATGGCGACAAGTTGTGCGTGGGAAAGTATCTGTTTTCTGCTTACAGTGCATAAATCTAGGCATGCTGTGGTTGTTCTCGACACCATTTCAGTACAGTCAGAGTACGTACCTTGACAATCTGTGAGAGAGGAAAATCATGAAAACGTTTCTCCAGGGAAAAAGCAGCCTTTCTTCATGAATGCATTGCAGACCTATCTAACCACAACTCTAAACATAAACCTCATCACCATGTGCACCCATTGAAAGTTAATCATATCCAGAAGGTGTATGGGCTTGGTTTCTTAAAACAGAAGAATAGCCAGAATAACTTTCACAGGATTCAATTTCAAGTTGAAGATGTCATCACCCTCCATTATATGTATCCTAACAGTGTCATTCTCCGAATCATCTCCTCTTTCCCCCCTTACGCCATTTCCTGCCTCCGTTTTCTTCTATATGACCTCTGACCTCCCAGGGACCACCGGCCTACGCTGCATCTGCAGGCCTGCTCAGTAATCAGATTCTCACGGTTAAGGTTTGTCCCTCTCAGCCTATCATCCCTGCATCTCCTGACACATGTGGCCGTCTATGTTCACAAACATCTGTGCCTTCTTACCTTACTCCATTTCACTACTTCTCCTTTGTTCCCACAACCCGTTATCCTGAGAGAAGACTGTCTGTTTCTCCAGCTGTGATTACTGGCATCCCTGCATTGTTTCTAATGCACTCGGTCCATGCATCTTTCTCATTATCCGTCCTCTGCTTGTCGGCTATGAGCATGGCTTTCTCTTGGCTACAGGCTGACCATCACACTTTTCACAGTCGCCTTCTAAAGGTAGAGCCAGACTTGTGCATGGCTTGCTGCTTTTCTCGTTTTCTCCATTTCTTCTGTGTCCTTGTCCTCAATTAGCAGATCTGGCAGTTTACAATGTTGTGTTGCATTCCTGCTTTGAATTTCAAACAGAGGGTAATTGTTGTGTTTATTGACAATAGTGACGAAAACATGTTTGCTAGACCACAGCAAATAATCAAGCCAGCAGTAGTGCTGGCTTTTTTTTAGCCGTAGCGTCTTGCGTTATCACAAGACAAAGAGTTTGTGAGGAATAAAATACATTTCTTTATTGATAGCTCTTTGAAGCTTTGGCCCCATTTTACATCTGAATACCAAAACCAATTTTTCGCCATGAAACAGAATTAATCTGCAGGCAAAGTAAATGACCTATTTGAGTAACGTCAAGACTAGGGAGATCAGAAGCAACAATGAAACCCTTTTCAAAGACAATATTCAAAAATACTTGTTCCGTCTCTCTTTCTGCAGGGTGATCAAGGTCAGGCTGGTCCCCCAGGACCTCCAGGAACACCTGGTCCCAGAGGTCCTCCAGGAAACACAGGCAAAGATGGGCCACAGGGCCACCCAGGAGAGCCGGTGAGACACTTGCTTTCTATCTCACATGGTCTCTTGTGTCTGTCTTTACTGAGCTCACTCATTCTACAGCTGTTGCGTCTCATATATGAGTCACACTGTGCTGACAACCCCTGCTCAGAAGACCAGGTGCAGCTTCTCACTGAGCTGAACCCTGTGCTCAGTGTTGGGTTCAGACACAATGCTTTTCCTTCTACACTTGTCTTCTTGGCAGATGCTCCTAAATCAAAGTGACTTGGTTTAAAATATGTTTATAGGTCAGGTAGCTGTAGAATACAATTCTACACGTGCAATGGTTGCTAATGTATTCTGAGTCGCTATATGGTTTCAATGGTTTAAATGATGTAAATGACACACCGAGCCAATGGTCGGCCATCATTGAGCAGCTATTGGCTCAGTGGGTTTCACACCTTTGGCACCGTCTCTGAATAGTCCTCATCTTTGGCACAATATGAATTTGGGTGTACTTTTCAAGAAAAGTGCTGTTTAAATATAAGGTATTATTATTGTTATTTTCAACAATTTTTGCTTTCTGCACAACTTTCGTTATCAGTTATTGCAGTTCTGGGATTTGGGACCATTTAACACAAATGCAATAGCATGTTACTCTGTAGGCAGTGATGTAGTGGTGCCTGGAGAAGTGGGTATACTCTTAATTTATGCCCCCAATATTTTTTTAAGCGTCCCAGCAAAGGATGAACGCTCTGTGTTATAAACAGTGACATGTAAGACTACTAGTCTTGCATTAGTGTTCAATATGAAAGAATACAGTATAATGAATACAATAGAACACATAGAATCAGTGGTATTGTTGCATATCAGGGCTGCACATGGTTTTGTAAATACCCAGGTGCCAGCTAGGTCCCATAAATTATATTGTTAGGGGGGTTCGGGGGCATACCCCCCCGAGAAAATTTTGATTTTCCTGATCTCGAAATGAGCATTTTAAGGTGTTTTGATGGCCAAAAAAAATGACAACAGTAGCTTTAAAAGCATGAAGTAGCCTATTTGATCAGATTCTTAAACATGAGAATCAGTTCCAGTTTCAGCGACTTTTCTTTCCTAAATTAATCAATGTTTTTGGACTAATCTGTTAATTTAATTAATTAAAAGACAGTCACTTGTCGCCACCCTCTGGCTTAATGATGCAAGTGGCGCAAACGCAGACAATCGGAGTTACAAGCAGTGAAAAATCAAACACATTCGAAAAAACGTTATACAAATATATTTATACAATAGTAATGGCAATATATTTGATAGCGTACTTGTGTTGTTAAATTGAGCTTAAAATTTCCACTGTCTTTAATCAAACTGATTATTTCTGTCGGTCATTTAAAACGTCTATTGAAAAATTTGAGCTACTTGCATCTTATCTCGCACTGTATGATCGTTAACTGAAGTGAAGCGTCGCGTTGGGATTCGCGCTCGGCTCGCGCTTTTATGAACAAAAATACTGCATTCTTTGGTCTCACGAACATTTTGACATTGACGAGCAGGTGTTTGAGTGCTGAAGCAGATCAGATGAGAAGGCCAGAACATCGTCGCGATGGGAGAATCATTGCAGCAACAAATTAGAGTTAGGCCTAATATTACGGGTAACGTTACGACTGGGTGTTTTTTTTTATTCGCGAAATTGGATTAGCAACTAAATGATGCGCATCAGAGGGGATTTAGAAGTGGGTATACGCAATGCCGACTGATAAGGAAGTGGGTATACGCCGTATACCTGCGTATACCCTGCACTACACCACTGTCTGTAGGCATCTTTCAACATTTCCCACACAAGCGATATTGTAGATTATTGTGACAGAATATGCTAATTGAAGATCGTTAACTCCACATCAGCAACATAAATTCATCAACTAAACATTCAGAAACATCCTGTTGCATTCTACATATTGCACATTTCAGTCTCTCCATCATTGTCTGACTTCAGTTTAAACATAAAAGGCTGAAGAGTTTCTGACATTTTATTGCGTGTCTCTGTATGGTAATCGGAGCTGCTAGCACACATGAGCTCTTGAAGCTCCGCCCTCTGTGTCGGGAGCAGCAGCTCATTTGCATTTAAAGGGACACAAACGAATCAGCGTTTTTGCTGACCCTCAAAAAGCGGCACATCTTTAACATGCTTAAAAAATTAGAGAGACTTATTTTACATACCACCTCTTTAATTTAACATATAAATACCATTTTTTTTATCAAATATTTTTTATTTTTATTTTTTTATTAACAAAATTAAATTTAACAAACAGGAACAAAAACAAAAACAAAATTCAGCATAACATAGATCTGGACAATATTCAGAACATATGACAATACAGATAAAAATGGTTGATCTATAGCGATGCCATTCAATATAGATGCAACGGTAGAGTTAGTAAAGCGAAGATAAGGAGTCCAAATATTTAAGAAACGTCCTTTTGAAGAATGAAGAAGGCAAGTTTAGTATTCCAGTGGAAAATGCTCCATGATGAGTTTATGCCAAGTTGTTTTATGCCAAGTTGTAATCATAAATACCATTTTTTTAAAGAAATTTTTTGAAAGAAATTACTAAATGCTAAAAAATTATTAAATGTAAGTAAACAAAATTTTGGATTGCATGTACAATCCTGTGAAAACACAGCACCCCTACTTCCCGCACCCTTGTTTTCAGTAATGCATTATATAACATCCTGTGATGTAGTAGGATACTTGGCGATTGATGTGCAGCTCCAGAGTATGATGGTTTCTGCATTTGTAGTTAATGCCCTGTTCTCCTCAGCCAGTTTATCCAAATATGTTACGCACTTAGTTTCCTTTTCATACCATCTAAACCAAACAAAGATTAGTGCAGCGTTGAAGGGCAAAAATTCTCACCCTGCACTCTGCCTCATATTGTGAGCAGATGTTCTTGGGTCAAGAAGCTCAAAGGCCATTTCCTGTTATTGTGTCTCAAATTGTGTTTATATATGCTTAAGTGAAACCACCTTATTAGGCCTGATGCCATGCCTTCAGAAGTGCCGTGGAGCATGACAGACACTGCACTGTGGCACCTACCGAGTGCCTGTAGGGATACACGTCTTACAAATTAATCTGATTTTAAGCAGGTGTTGTGCAATATTTCTTCAATTGTGAATCCCTAGCTGGCTTGAATGTGTCCTTGGAAGCTTACAGGATGTCTGCCATAAATGTTTGACTGTTGTCTGCCGCTGTGACTGTTGTTTTGGTGTGTTCCAAATATGCATTTGGATCATCTTAATTTTTTTTTTTTTTTTTTGTTTACATGATATGTTTGAAAATAAAAGATTGAAGTATTTATACTATATGTTAAACATCATAGATCTCAAGAGGCCTTATATCTAGTAGACAGTCAACAGAGCAAGCCTATGCCTGTTTCTTTACATTTGACTCATTCCTTGTGTTTGCTTTCTAAATAACAGGGTCCTCCTGGAAAAGATGGCAATGAGGTAGAACTTTATACATGTACATTTGTTTACTTATCTACATACTCATATTTTGAATCTTGAATCTACAACTTCATGGAATTTAAAGTGATGATGCATAAATGAGGGTGACTTACTGGCTTCTATATTATATTTTTTTTTTCCTACAGGGACCAAGAGGGCCACCTGGCATGCAGGTAATATGCCTAATATGCCTTAAATTATTTGGACACTTTAGCCACAATTAAAAATGAATGTTGGATGCACCAAATGGCATTTATTTTGAAGAAATACAGCACTATTAATTAAATGTTTCTTACATTTCAAAATGTACATTGATAGATAGATATTAAATAAGAATATTTGACACGATATTTGGTAACAAAATCAATATCAAATGTTTTTTCATTAAGGGTACAAATGGTGTCAATGGCATGCCTGGACCACAGGGCCCTTTGGGGCCAAAGGTTAGATTTTTTTTTTACCCCCCTCCAACCTTTCTTCTTTTCTCATAAACACAAAGATAACCATAATTTCATGCAGGCACTGCTTTTGCATATAGGGGGATCAGGGTGCTCCAGGTCCTGAGGGGAAAAGGGGGATTGATGGATCCCCTGGCTTGAAGGTGAGCTGTCTGTTGAGAAGATGGTAATTATAAAAGTAGATGCAGTTGTGTTTATGAGGTATAGTTGCATTCAGGTCAGTTTACTGGGTAAATGCTGATACTAAGATACAGTAATCATGTTTTTCTTCCTTTGGTTGAAAAGGGAGATGTTGGGCATCCAGGACCCCAGGTGAGTGTTTATTTAAGTCTTCCCCCCATTACATATATCTGTTCTCTTTGAACATCTTTCCAACTGTCTCTCCTTCAGGGTTTGCCTGGAGAGAAAGGAGATACTGGCTTCGCCGAAAATGCTGATCTGGCTGCTACACTCAAAGCACTGCAGGTACATTTTAGTCATACAAAAAAGTCAAATCCTATTTGAAGATCCCTTTATTACCTTTTTGCATTAATATTTTCTTCGTATCAATAGGGGCCACCAGGCCCTCCTGGAGAGCAAGGGCCAAAAGTGAGTGATATATTTTCACTGAATTTCATTGCATTCAGCAGTTTCCATTGCTGGCATATTACTACATTTATTTCAAATATGTGTTTGTAACAGGGAGAAATGGGATTGCATGGAGCGCAAGGACCTGAAGGAAAGCAGGTTGGTTCCTACACAATAATCCGTCTCAATCAATCCGTGACATTTGGTGACTGTGCTGCATTTACATAGAGTTGACGCCAGCCCATTCATAATTCTTGAAGGGGTCAAGTTTTTTTTTTTTTTTGGTGGGAAGAGAGATCTGTATTATATATTCTAGGTTCTCTATATTCTAGCTAAGCTCCCAGCATGAATTTTATTTTAGAACGTTATTTTAAAACGTTTTAATTCCATGCCGACGCATCATGCAGCCACACTGAATGACAGATGTATCGCTTTTATTTCATAGTTTATTTTCATTCAAAATATTCACGAATTTGTTGATAATAAATTGAACATTGAACTGCAAATACAGCAAAGTTAATAAATATAATTCCAAAAAAAACAACACCCCTACTCTTTCGAAAGACATCCTGGGATTTTTTGTATAACGTCTCATCCGAAGATTTAACGTCTCATCCGAAGGACGGTGCACTTTGACACTAGTGTCCCCATCACTATACTGTGGTGGAAGCCACAGGAAGGCACCCCAGCCCTCTCCAGCCCCGCCCCCTGCTAAACGCCGGGCCAAGCGGCGCTCCTGAGACGGCCTGTCACTTCTGTCACTTCTCAGGAGATGATAGCAGGACCACTCCTTCCCCCGGTGGAGGGCCGGGGGAGAATCTTTTATTCTCCACTCCCCCGCAGACCCATGGTATTTCTTTGCCATTGGCTTGTTTTGTAATACTCGAAGTTCATAGGTTTTCTAAGTGAAACCCCATTCGTCGTCATCCAACGTAACGTCTCTGTTCCCTACTCGGGGAATGAGGGTTACATACGTAACAGAGACGTTCCGGGTCTTGTGCAACTGATACTGAACTGCCATTGGCATCTGTGTTCAAGGGGAGGGGCTTACTGATCAATGGTCAATTGCAGCATCAGGTTTCGCGCTCTTATTGGTTCTTGATTTGTTCATGTCAAACTAACAATCAAAGACTTTAGATTTTGGTCTAGGACCCAACTAATTATTTGGGATCACAAAATTTGTCGGGCAAAATTGTACAATGCAAACCCGGCTTTAGTTGTGCATGTATACTGCATTAAATAATGTGACGTCTCATCCAGGGTCAAAAGGGAGAGAGAGGTGATGCAGGAGAGCCAGGAGCAAAAGGGGAAAAGGGGGATATTGGGCTAACAGGGCCTTCAGTGAGTATTTACTACATATAGCATGTGATGTTCACTGAAGTTTACTGCAAGGATTATGTTATTGTATAATGGTGTTTTAGGGATCAGCAGGGCAAAAAGGTGATAAAGGAGACTCTAGGCTTGAGGACAATTTGGTGAGTTTAACGCACACTCAACATTAAAATATGAAGAACATAATCCAGATGTATCTTAACTGGACTGATCTTGATAACTCACTTGTAGGACCAGATTATCCATTTGCCTGGACCACCAGGGCCTCCTGGACCCCCTGGGCATGCCGTAAGGAATACAGTTTACTACTAGTTCAGAAGCTTTTTGTTAACGAAGGCTAAGAAGACTAACCATTTTTTTCTTCCAGGGATATCATGGATTGCCTGGACCCAAGGTGAGACTGTGAAGTATTGTTGTAAAGGAATGACCCTTTCTGGTGCATTTTGTGGTCATGGCAAATAAAAAGTTTCAAATGTAACACAGGGAGAGCCTGGTGAGGCAGTCAAAGGAGAAAAGGGAGATGCTGGAGAGAAAGGTCCATCTGGGCAGCGGGTAAGTTGTTACAAAGCCAATATGCAGAAACTATTCCAAGACTTGTATAGATGTGAAAAGCATGGACAGATACAATTCTGCTTTTTGTACACAGGGTCCTCAAGGCTTTCCAGGGTCTAATGGCTTAGTAGGCCTGCCAGGTGCAAAAGGTGAAAAGGTTAGTATTTTTGAACCCTTAAAAAGACAAGACAAAACGTCTGAAAAAAACAAAGTTCTGTAATGAAACTCTAGATGGTGCAGCATAATACAGGGTTTTTCCTACAACGAGAATTAGGTGCCGCCTCCGGGTCTCGGCCTGTGCCCATTTTCAAACTGTATTGTTTGCCGATAGATAGTGATGTGCGGATTGTGATTATATATCATCGGGTCAGGTAGGCCAAGTATTAAAAAATAGCATTCCAATTCACGGGTGGATGAGAGATTCATTTTTAATGTGTTGAGTTCAATAAAGACACAGAACAGTTTAATAAGAGTTTAATAAACAGAACAGTTTTATAAACGTCACTCTTTTACTTTAGTTTTCAACAATGTAATTCTTTTCTGGGAAAACCAATCAAGGAAAACACATGCCAGGGCCCGACATTAACGCTTGTGTGTGACGCATGTTTTTTTTTTTTATTGAAGGAACAAGTGAAAGAGAATTTTACTTGCCCATGCCCAACCGGACAAATGGCCTGATTAAAACGTCAAAAAAAAAAAAAAAAAAAAAAAAAAAAAAAAATATATATATATATATATACTCTATATCTTTGAAAGTTGTCAGTACTAGGCCTACATATAACGCTAATTATTCTCTCTTTTTTTTTCAAGGGAAAACAAGGTGAACCAGGATTAGATGTAAGTGATTATTATGCTATTGGTTACACACTCGAGTATATTGAGTAATTACTTAATGAACATGGCTCTCCTGTGACAGGGTTTCCCAGGGCTTCAAGGAGAAAAGGGGGAGAGAGGAGACAGGGGAGAGAAGGTTAGAGAAACAAATACTTTATTTTCAATAATTACCATTTGTATGTGGGTAATACTTTATATAGTATATTGTTATAAATTCGAATCTCAAGTCTAGCGTATGCTGTTCGAGTACAATCTGACAAAGCAAACACTTCTTATGTATCCATGCAGGGTGAGAGAGGCTCAATAGGAAAGAAGGGGCTGAAAGGACTGAAGGGAGAGCAGGGACCTCCAGGGCTTGATCAGCCTTGTCCTGTGGTATGTAATGAAACCATGTTGTTTGGACAAAATAAATGCAATGTTCTTCTGTGTATCTTTTATGCATGTGAATGGCATCTGATCTGTGTGAATGAGTTTACAGCTAGGATTTGACATGAATGGGTTTTACTGACAGGACACCAATGGGGTTTAAGAGCATGGTGGGGAGGCAAGGGTTCCATCAGATGCCCCCCTGCCCTTTGGTACAGTATTTTTAATCTTGTGTTTGTGCTCACAATCATCATTTGATATTTCATCCTGGTCCTGTGGGTTCCCCTGTCCACAACCATGAGATCTGATTCAGGTGGCTTGGCATAGACCAGAGCTTCTGAACTACTTCATCACCAGTTATCTTATACCGTAAAACTTCAAATAATAGCCAAGTCCCAAATAGACGCCTGTCTCTTTTACACACCTGGTACAGGTTTGGATAAATATAGGCCAGTCTCACAAAAACAACCTGGTCTGTTTTTTAGTTTTGGGTTGTATTTAATCTTCTCAAACCCGTCAGGTCGCCTGTTTAAGCCAGTTCTATGGTGCAGATTGCAAACGTAAGAGAGCCCTGATCATCTGGGCGAGAGGTGTTAGCGCAAGAAAGGCAGGCAGAGTTAGCAGGGAGAAGTGGAGGAGAGAGCGAGGAGGAGGAATTCGCCAATGAACTTGTAGTTGAGGATCGCGGTGATGATGATCTAATGGGGGTCGCACCGGACGAGAAGCGTAGTTCCATCTATAGCCCCTTTTCCACCAAAGCATTTTGAGAGCCGGTGCCTGCGCGCAAATCAGTTCTTTGTGTTTCGACAGCCAAAGAACCGGTTCTCGGCCAGGAGAACTGGTTCCAAAGCGGCACCAACTCTTTGCTGGACTAGAACCGTTCTTTTACCACGTCATGCTTATATCAGGGGCTGGGGCGGGTTTAGATGTGTTCTAAACATCTTTTCTAACCATAATAAAGGATCGCAAAGCCAAGAGAAACATTTGCAGAAACACGATGGAGTCCGCCTTTGTAATTGTAATTGCAACCGTTTCTATTTTTGTAATTTTTTTTATTGAAGACATTATAAGCAAAGAAGAAATCAGTCACAATATAGAACAAATAAATAGAAAGAAAAAAAGACACAAGACAGGGGTACATAACTTATCAGAAAAGATTACATATCAAACGAAAAGATTAAAAGACTTACATATTTCAATTGTTTTTAAAGCTTTCTTGGTACACGAGTTAGAGATAATCCCAAAGTAATGTTGTATTTGCAAGCGTATGGCGACGTACACAATGACGTAATGACGTCGTTCCCTGGGCGCTCTAGTCAGTGGAAAAACAAAAAGGTTCTGAAGCGGTTCGCAAGTTGAACCAACTCCGAACCAACTTTGAACCAGCACCAGTTCCGAACCAGTTCTTTTTTTGGTGGAAATGTGGCATATGAGAACTCGAGGTTAGGGATGGGGCCGATCCGATCCAGTATCGTATCGGGGCCGATACCAGCGTAATTCATGTATCGGATTTTCCCGATCCAACCTGCGGAGATATCCGATATCCATGAACCATGTCTGCGCTGAAGTGAAGTTGTCTGCTGAAATGACCTCAAAAGTGATTCCCGTCGGCTAGTCTGCTGTGGAGTGGGTTTCCTGAACAGCAGTGCGGCTCAATGGGACACAGAGTTATGATACACCGCTCAGGAAATCTATTCCGCAGTTTGGAGCCAGCTAGTAGGAAAGCATTGAGTAGCAATATATCCGCTGTGTGGAAATACTTCAAACTGGAAACACCGCTGAGCAAGAGAGCAAAAGGCAATGTTTGCAAAGCCGTAATTCAGAGGCGGAAGCTCCCTTGCGTAAAAATTGATTTGTTAAACACATTCAAATTATAAGTAAAACCTAATATAATGTGGTAACCTCGGACTATCATGTTTTCCGTCTATCAGTTTATGCTATTTGGATTGGCCTACACTCAATGAACAACATCTCAACACTAAATTAAAGGCCTGTCTCAAATACAGTCCAGTGCAGTTTGGCGTTTGGGAAAATAAAAGCCCAGACTATTATTTGAAGTTTTATCGGTAGTCTCTCAATTATCAAAGCAAACTGCAAATTTTCAAAACCAACAATTATGTGGAGTATTTAAACATCTAGTCAGTGTCAACCAGACACAGATTATGTAAGAATGTTCTCTTAAAATTGACCAAATCAAGTTACCTTACTTTCACCAATGTCCTAAATATGAAAAATAAAGCTAAAATAATTATTTTAAAAGATGAATTGGATTTAACAACCTCATTAATTACAGACATAGTTGGTTCATGGACAGTCCTATCTGATCCCTAATTCTAACTCCATTTTAAGTGTTCATCTCAAAGCTATGCCATGCTCTGTAAAAATATACGTAGATCACATGAGAGAAATAACTGCACCCACCTGGGTTTATGATTTTGTCCATCTGAGCTGTAGTGATGATGTGAGCATGATGTGTGCAGCGTTTCACTTTCAGATTTACTGCCAAAGGTGTTCCTCTGTGGGGTAGTGTGATTCCTTTAGTCTCACATAATCATTGGTGGCAGGCTTCATACTGTACGTGATTCGCCATTCCTTCCCGCCCCATCAGTAAGAATTGTAAATAAATAATTGATTTCCTTCTCTTCTTTATTGACAGGGGCGAGATGGACTGCCCATACCAGGATGCTGGCATAAGGTATAATTATATATGTCATCCGGGGAAACTATGAGTCCTGCTAGTTTTGCCAACATCCTTGTGATAAAATAAGGACATTGCATTATGACTGCTTCTTGTGCGTGTCTCCTAACGTTTTCTCCTATTGCTTTCTTGCAGTAATGACTAACCCGGAGCATGGAATTTGTACATATTGATATATATTTTGCAAGTAACGTTTGCTTTTTTCTCCCAGATTTTTTTTAGTAAATCTCGTTTTTAATAAATTGAGTTTTCATACAGGAGCCCCTGCAAAATTAATGTCTATATCGCTGCATTAACAAAAGAGGGGGTTCTCCACTGCCACAATAACAAGTGTAGAAAAGCAACGATATTGAGAAGAGACATGAACTCAATGCTTGTGGATGCCAAAAGAATGCTGCTGATGTCCTTAAGGAGAGAATGGGTCTTAAACCAATATAAGCCTGAACTTTCTAACAGACTGACCAATGCATCTACTTATATGACTTCAAATGATGTTTTTCACTGGCTGTCTTACTTTTCTGGGTGCCATTTGAACCAACCCCATGCATTCTTCATTAAATATTTGCTTGAAAGGAAGAGGCTTCAGAATCAGGGCAGGTTGGCAAGGACAAGCAATCTTCTAAGGCCTAAAGAACACTGAATGGACTAAATGGAGTGAGAATGCTTTGCCAAAGTTCAACTGGATGTTTCAAAGGAAAGGACTCGTCTGTACTACAGGGAGGAACGTGATGTGGATACTGCACTGGATTTGTACTGGTGTACATACGGACAAATCTGTTCTCAGGAAACTCTTTTCACTTGGTCAATAGGAAACCACATACTATCTTTTTGTTCCATTGCTCTCTAAAATACACCAGTGGAATAGTGGGGGGGAAAGTATAATAACTGATGTCATGGAGAAGTCTTGCCTGTTTATAAGAAGCCTAACTGAATAAAACTACTTTTAGTCTTTTATTCATTGTTTTTGTGAGGGGTTGTTTGCATCCTCAATGAGCATTATATAAAGTTTGTGTAAATAAAATGGATAATTTTTACATTTAAAGGCTAGTATGACTTATTGTGTGAATAACTTTTTGCTGTGCATTGTTTTGTGGTCAACTGTTTTTCCCTCATTCTGTTTTGGGGGGCCAACCCCTTAGGATGTTTGGGTTCTTACAAACGTTATTAACGTGGCTATAATTATCTGGATGATTATTTATTTATACACTTATTATTCATAAGTATGATGTGTCATAACTACATCTCTGACGTTTATAACAAACCAAACCATTTGAAAATCGGTAGAAAATTGAGCAAGTTATGGTTATTTTTTTAAATAGTACATGTACACACAATGTTGCGAGTGAGCGAGCTGTATGTGACAAGATTATATATCAGACATATGAGAGAAACAGGCTTAGAAGAGGAATGTTACAGGAGAGGTGGTCTTCATTCCAGAATCCAGATTTTCCTCTTTCCTCTCTTTCCTCTCCCTTAAAGGTAGTGTAGGTCAGAATTTTATAAAAAAAAAAAAAACACTTTTTTTTGTTTAAACTTTCTATATATATATATATATATATATATGCATAATTAAAATCTAAGTACTCTGAAAAAAAGAGTATAAAAATCGAGTGACTCTAGACCGTTTAATCTGCATTAAACAGCTGATTATTTCGAACCGGGACGAAACAACGGATTGGTTTAGGCGACTGTCACTCTCTCGCAACCATGGCAACCACCCTTTTGCCACACAGGACCTGCCCACTTGCGCGTATCTCGTACCTGTTCGCATGCCCTTGTTTGAGCTTGAAGATGCAAAACTCGACGCAGGTCCTCTTGTCGAAAAAGTGCTCCTTGCCCTGCACTTCGACTGCCCCGTCCTCGGCCTCTACTTCCTCGGACCCTAATAGCACGGCCTCCTCTGCTTCGCCCTCGACCACGGATCTGCCCTCGAGCTGACGATAAGGTACTTGCTTTCTTATACTGTCTATGGGTAACTTACTTGTCTCGGGAGTGTAGTCCTCATCAGAATCAACAATGCTTTCATCAAGCACACTCGTATGCAGTCAGAACGCCATACATGTTATGAATCTTACACGAAATTCATCTTCATCACAGTGTAAATAATGGCAATGGAAAAACGTGTATCATGCAACCTGTTTTTAGCTTTGCCTTATAGAAAACTAGCTCGTTAGCGAATCAATAAATATATATTGTAAACTTTACCAATATCAATATGCTAGCTTGATAGTGAGTAATAAAATACAACTTATTTGTTTATCTTCATAATGATAGTTAGGTTTTTTATTTACATGTGTTTCTGAAATTCTGACATGATGACACACACTACATGGCATGCACTCCTTCCTCTCCTCTCCGCTCGTCTCACTCTCAGGTAAATAATGCGTCTTCAGCTCAGCTGTCAGAGTCGCGCGTTCATGTGTTTTGGGGGCGTGGCTTTGGAAGGAGCCCAGAAGGGAGGGGGTGAAGTGAATGGAAATAATGAGCTGTCTTTAAAACAGTCGTGAGAGGTCTACAGACGCTCGATTTTTATACTTTCTTTTTCAGAGTACTTAGATTTTAATTATGCATTGATATATACAGAAAGTTTAAAGAAATTTGGAAAAAAAGTTAAAAAAAATAAATAAATTCTGACCTAAAATACCTTTAACTCATGTTGTGTGTGTTTCTCTGGGGTGGTACACTAAGGATTTGATCTTGTATACAACACTATGGAACTTACAAATTTCTTGTAAGGTGGAAAAATATGTTGCTTAAAAATGGAACGAATATAAGCTTACATGTGGCACAATTCACTTTCCTTGGTCCATATATGCATCAGTGAAAACATTCCTTTCCTTATAAAGAATAGACCAACTGTACATCAACAGGAGCCCTTGCATGAAGAAATCCCACTGGAGATGCTATACTGGAAGTGAGATCCTATCTTGAGCCAAAAAGCTGCAGACCTCCTGAGCTGGTAGACCAAGGCTTCAGTTTAACCATGACTTGTGAAGGTGATGACAGGGAGACAGTGCATTACCTTCAGAAAGAATCTTCTCCAAAAACAGGGCAGATTTTAACAAAAAGAAGAAGCCGGATCAGCCCCTCAAAGCTGAGGCACTTGGAGTTGTCACACCTAGATACTCCCCAAAGCTCTGCATAAGAGATAACATGTCAAATAAGGGTGACACAATTTCTATTTTTTTTTTTTGATTTTCCAACAATCCAATCAATTGCCAAAGGACGAACTCAAGCCTATATATATATTTTTTTTTAAATCCTATATTTTTTTTTGTAAAAAATCTTAAACATGATGTGGTTTCCGTAGTGTAGTGGTTATCACGTTCGCCTCACACGCGAAAGGTCCCCGGTTCGAAACCGGGCGGAAACAATCATTTACGTTTTTACTATTTTGAAACAACTTTAATCGTTTAACCCAACATTTAGTTGTACTGCCTATCTTTACTGATATATTTAATAGTACGCAATTGATTCTAATGAAACATGCTATGGAAATATTAATATTATAAAATGAGCACCCAACCCACAATTGTCAGCAATTGAAATTAGATGGTGGGCGAAGGGTTATAGAAGATAGAACAGTCTAATTTTGAGAGAATTAAAAAATACACATGACTAGAAGGAACAAGAATCAAGAAAATTCAGATCACAGCAGATAGGTAACAACTATGGTAACAACCAGCAGGGCTCAACATTAAATAAAATCTCCACTGGCCCCCAGGGGGCAGTAGATCAGAGTTTTGCTGGCCCTGCAAGGAATAAAAGGAAAAGCACTTTTCCATTAAACTGTGTTTATTGAATACATTTGGATTAATCAATACAGGGGACAAAAATAACCAAATGCCAGCGTGGAGAAGATTATTTGTCAATACCAGCTCTCTCCTCATTTCCATCACTCTTTCTTTTTTTCCTTGGTCTCTTCGTTGTGCTTATCCATAGGTGCTTATCTCACAACAACTGGTAGAGACAGACATCCGGGTAGTTGGAGGATGAAGGAAGAGCAATCGAGCGCAGATCGATAGATAGCGTTCATTAACACACAGGACTCCTCTTGGAGGAATATGGATTAAAAGCCTTAGAGTTCATCACGTCTACCCCAGTTAGTAATATTCCACCATGGTTTTTCCCAGAGGTAAAAACAGATATTAGTATCCTAGAAAAGAAAAGGGAATGGAGAATGGAGGAAGTGGGAATCAAGACAAGTATTTATATAAGGAACAGTTACAATAATTATCTCAGAATTTATACAGATGGATCAAAGAATAAACAGGAATGTGTGGGAGTTGGAATACATATTCCTGAATTCAAAATAAATATGTCGAAAAGATTATCTGACCAGTTATCTGTATACACAGCAGAAATTGTGGCAGTCATCATTGCATTACAATGGGTGGAAGAGGTTAGACCTGATAGGGTGGTAATATGTACAGACTCATTATCTGTCATTAAAAGTATACAATCAATGGAATCTGCCAGAGAAGACTTATTATTAGAACTAAATCACAGTTTGTTAAGATTACATCGGGGTGGCATAGATGTTCAGTTTTGTTGGGTGCCAGCACGCGAAGGAGTGAAAGGAAATGAGAGTGCAGACAAACTAGCAAAAGATGCATTACAGAAGGAAATAACGGTTCCAATTCCACTCGGAAAAGGAGAAGGAAAAGCAGTGATAAGAGAGAAAGGTATGAGAATATGGCAGAAATGGTGGGAAGAAGACACGAAAGGAAGGGGATATTATAAAGTACAAAAATATGTTAGTATTAAAAATTATAAAGAAAAGACTAGGCGGGAGGAAATTATAATATCAAGACTAAGAGTGGACCACACAGGATTGAATAGCACTTTGTATTTAATGGGGAAAAGGAATAGTGAAAACTGTGAAAAATGTGGGGTTAAAGAAAATGCTGAACATGTCATATTACACTGTATATTATATGAATTGGAAAGACGGGTGTTACAAGATGGGGTTCAGGAAGCAGGACGGGAATGGAATCTGATTGGGATACTGGGAACAGAAGGAGAGAGGAAAGGGATTATAAGCACCAGAATGGCACTTTTTAAATTTCTTAAAGTCACAGGGTTGATGGGTAGAATATGAGAACAATTAAATAGCATGATGTTACACACTCCAGTACAGTAGGTAGCGGTATGCACTTCAAAGTTGGTTGCAATCCGCCATTTTTCGAGAGAAGAAGAAGAAGAAGGACTCCTCTTGGGCCAATCAGCACCAATGTTTTGGAGCACAGTATGTTACCCGCCATGAAACAAATAAGAAGTACCTGCCGACTGGCGTGACCAGTGACCACCACCACCATGGATTCGGCTCGGACAAATACGGTAATGACATTTTTTTACGATCCAACGATCTTTTGTTTAACTATTGTTAATGTTATAGCTATTTTGTAGAAACGGGGGAAATTAAATCTTTCTCCAGACGTTGCTAATGCTCACGTTTTTATGGTACCCAACTAGCTCTGGTAACAACATTTTTGCCTGGTGTTTATTAATTTTTAAGCGTTGGCCTCTTCCTCCGGTGAAAATGTTGTTGCAAACGTAGCTAATGTTAGCCGCCGCCAAGTAGACTGGTCATGTCTTCAGTCCAATTTTCCCCCCGATAACTTTGTCATTGTCAGAGTAACGTTTTTGCTAAGAGAGAGAGAAAGAGAGAGAGTGAGTGAGAGAGTAGTAGTAGTAGTAGTAGTAGTAGTAATAAGCGTGTAAGTTATGTGTCGCTGTGCTAACATAATGTAAGGCCATAAACTTCAGGGCAATTACTGTACACCAACCATAGCACTAGCTCTAGCCTATATTTGAATTGAATGCATAAGTTAGCTAATTCCGTTTGACTAGAACACAAAAATGGCACATTTACACTTGGAAAGAAAGCTGGATGTTTTGTTTAATTAAACTCAATAGTGCATATGCTATTGTTGTCTATAATAATATAGTAGTGCCTATTTTATTAATATTTTGTTTTATATTGATATAGCTAGCCATTTACTTGAATAACTTTTTGCAATATATTTTCTTTGGAATATGGAAAACATCCCACTTTGTAATTTTTGATTTGGTAATATTTAAGTTATTTATATTGTTTTATGGGTTATTAAGTTGATGTATTGTATAGCTTTTCCAACCTACTGCTGAATTTGTATACTTTTGACAGGGAGACAACTCCGAAGTAGTCAATTCAGCAAGACACCTCCTAAATTTGCTCACAAATGCAACACCTTCCCCTGGTCCTGTTGGGCCCAGTGCCCAACATAGAGCTACCCTTGTTGGGCCCAGTGCCCAACATCAAATTGGCCCCGAGACTCCAAGGTGTTGTCTAGTTTCGCAACAAATAAGATAACACACACACACACACACACACCCAGATTAACATGTATAAAATAATGTGGTGCATCTCCTGAACACGGCATGTCATTCTAGCAGACAGGGAAGGAGTCAGGAAAGAGGGAGAGATGGCTGACCCAGTGTCCACACAGAAATGACAAGGTTCTTCACTGTATTTGGTTTCTTTGTCAGACTGACTCATCCCTTACATTCATCAATTTAAATTCTCAAACTATAGCTAGTGAAATGTGTATTTGTATTGGGTAAGGTCAAATTAATAAATTGTCGTCACAGGTCTTTTCCTGCCCTTTTTGGAGCCAGGGGAAAGCGCCAGCACGTTTAAGGGCCTTCCAACCACTCCACACCAGTCAAAGAGATAGAAGTTACATTTGATCTCTTACCCAAAATTGTTGAGCACACTCACAAAGGCAGTGAAGAAGTTTTCCATCTGCAATCTGGTTTGGGACACAGGTCCACGCTGATACCAGAGAACTACACCCATGATGAGGTGAGGCAACAATTTTTTTTTTTTGTCATATAATCATGTTTGAATATAGTCCACTATCAAAACCAATGTTCGTTTGTCAATATGATGGTACGATTTACACTACCGGTCAAAAGTTTTAGATCGGTAAGATTTTTTGTGTTTCAACATTTCAATAGAGTTCAACTATTAAATAACTTTTCTTGTTAAGGGTGTGGTTCTAGAAAACTATATATGTTGTCTCCTGGGGACAGTGGATATACTGGGCTAATGCTGAAGACTGCAAGTATAGGCGGAAAGGGTGTCCTATATTGCTCCGTACAGGAAGAACTAGACACTCAACCACTGCCTCCTGACTCCAGGTCCTTCTCTAGTATGCCACAGGCAATGTGCCACTCCTGTCACACCAGCTATCCATTGCAAATCCTAGCGCTGCATGTTGAAACATGCAAGCCTTCATATACTTATCCACTGGAGGTGTGTACAGACCCATTGTATTGATAATGTTGGGAGACCATTAAGCTTGAATACAGTTTCTTAAGAGAACAAAGAAGAGGCTCAACATTACAGTTGAATTTTGTCATAACATGTTTACTGGCCAGTTCCACCTGATGTGATGTGGATTTAGGTAGTTCAGCTATTTTTGCAATGAGGCTGTGTCAATTAATGAACAGTTTATGCAAAAACATCTGTTGAATGATGAGTAACAACACATATGCAATCATGTCACAATTTCAGTTTGATTCCAGTTGCAGACCAATCTGTGGCCATAATTTTCCTCCCGATGACCCGGAGGAACATGCAAGCGAGCGTGGAGAGAGGTAATAGAATCTTAGCACAATATAGTCAATATAAAAATGTCAAGATTTTGTAGCATTTTAGTGAGATATTTGTGATATCCCTCCAAGCATCTGTTTTCCCACCAATGGATTAATGTATTGACCAGTTGGATTTAATACTTTTAAATTGACTGAGCTGTTACCATTAAGGCTGACTGTGCTGTGTGTGATATACATTTACTTAGTTTCAACAGTACACAAGTGTTTTTTTTTTCCTTTGGTTGTCACTGTTGCCATATGATTTTTATTGATCAGTTAGTCCTGACCATAACACAATTTCTTTTTCTCAAAAAGTTTAAATTAAAATGTTTAGTTTTAAAAAAGTTTCAATTAACAAGTTTAAATGCATAAAAAATCCCTGTTGGATCTTGATCAAGGAAATTTCAGGAAAGATATGCTTGCATACAGTGGGGTCCATAAGTCGGAGTCCTCAAACAATATTTTGTTTACATGTTACAGGGCTGAAAACTCAGGCCATATATAGACCTTATTCAGAGCAGCGCCATGACGGGTATGAAAGTGAGGCTGTGTTACCGTGTTTCCAATGGCATCCGCTGTAAAAAGCTGAATAAAGCTGCTAGATTACTTACAATTTTCCACAGCTTACATTGTCGGGAGTTTTTTGTCAACTGAAATTTCTTGGAAAGATATTTTTCCAGTGTTTCATGAGCAGAACAATCCGAAAACACATTAAATAACAGTACAGCCCATTGAAGAGATGCATGACTATCCCTCACAGCCTCGCTTTCATTCTCATTAAAAATCAAAGATGGCGCTGCCGTGAATAAGGCGTATGACAAGAAAAAAAGGAATTGTGTTTGACGACTATTTGATAATTTCAGGCACTGACAGTGTAGTTGCCTACGTGGGCTCTGATTGGCCCACATGGTCAAATTGAGTCTATTAAAATTGATTCCTCTCTTTCAATCCGTTGCTCTTCTGGTCCTCTCCTACGCACCTGTCTGCCTCTGTTGGTGTGCATACTTTTTATTGATTTATGTTCAGTAGGCTAAATGTTGTGGCTTGTGATCTTAACACAGTTTTATGCACTTATGTCCTCAGGACATTAGTATGTTTCTACTAATTTATACGGTTTTCTTTCAGAAGTGCTGGTGAAATCTGGCTCAAGGCGGACCACCACCCTGCTGCCTCAAACTTTGGTGCTACAGGTACTTGTGTGATGGGGAGATACAGATTCAGCACATTTCTCTGATGCGGAGTATATATCACATCTCTCCCAGGTCTTATGGGTTTTACTGCTGTAAAATGTTTGGCAACACATTTTAATCTGTGTTTTTTTTTTCTGTGTGTGCGTATTTTTAAGGTTGAGTCGGCCACGGAGGCTACAATGACTGAACTGATTGAGGACATTTTGAGCTGTGGCTATAATGGACCTGTTAATGTTGAAAAGAGGGAAGAAATTCTTCGGTATAATTGTTTTTTCACTATGCTAGTCAATGATGTTAATATTCATGTTTTGATTTTTTACATTTCACTTCATATTGATATTATTTTTTTCTTCATTCTATATTTTAGTGCTGTTGTTCTTCATGCCATACTTCGGCTGCTGCCCCTACTCTCCAAGCTACGTGAAGTTCTGAAACTTTATGGTCTCGTTGATCAAATGAACCAATACCCAAACATCTGCCAACCACTCTTTGTCCCCGGGATGGAGGTGAAGGTGAGTTAATAAATGTAGACTTTAGTAGGGATGTACTGATACCACTTTTAACTAACAATAGTGATTCCAAGTCCTAAACTCAGCTTATTTCAAGTACCAATCATGCCCTTTACTTTAACTTTCTTTGTATAGACTTTGTGGGGTCACTGGACAATAATAATGAAGATATTAATGTTAAAGGTCCACAATGCAGAATTCTCCTAAGAAACAGTGTATAGTATGACCACCCCCAACTGGTGTGAGGGGGTTTTATCTACAGAGATATTGCCTTCTGCCAGTATTTTCTGGTTTTCTTATTATGTTGCTGTGTTTGGGACATTTCTGTGTCAACCTTTGGGCAGTGGGTGTGTGTGTGTGAGGTTGGGACTCGTAACGTAATAGTTTTTGTGCTGCTCGCTCACCCACTACTGCTCTCTCTTTCTGGATAAACTCATAATGATACATAGTTTCTCTCATCAGGCTGATGCTGACTTTGTCTTTGCGACTTGCCCACCTGAGTTCAGCGAGAAGGGCTCCAACAAAGAACAGGTGGAAGTGAGCGTTATGAACCATCTCCAGGACTTCTTGCAGGAGCTGGAAGCATGTAATTGCTCATGTACTTTTCTTCTTGTAAACTCTGTTTACTTAGTTTCTCTGTCTTACACATTTTATGAAATTTTCATGTAGATTATCTTATCATTGTAAGTACACTTATGCAAGATATTAGATTTCCAAATTCTACCTCTGTGTTGGTACAGGTAAACCAAATATTTAATCTACATAATTGTTTGCTTTCCATCTCTGAAAAGGTGTACATCCAGAGGTGTGTGACACAGTAGACTATCTTGGTCACCTGTCCCCCAGTATCCAGTGGCTCACAGGACAGGGCCACATTCCTGTCTTACCAGAAGAGAAGAGAAACTTCAGAGTCTTTGGACTTACAATCCACCTACCTGTTAAGAATATGCAAACTTTTACTGGGTTCAAACAAGTGATGACAGAGGCCTTCCATCTAGGGCAGGCATTTCATCAGGTTTAAATATTCAGTGCTATTTAGATTACTGAATGCTTTTCTTTCATGGTTCAAGTACAATGCATATACATTCAGACAAATAATAATAGATAAGATATTTGTGCAAATCTTTCATCTCATTTTTTGTTAAGTCCAGTTTGTATCTGTTAACCCAACCCAAGTTATACTTTAAAAACTCATTTCCATATGGGCATTGCACCATCCATGTTTGTCAGAAAGATGTCCTTCACTGCGTTCTTTCCTGCGTTTCAGTTTGACAGAAGTCCAATAAATACAAAATCTTTGGAACCAAAACACAACATTGTGGCATTACTTTAGTTTCAATCACTTCACTGTGAATGGAAGTTGGACTTTATGGTGCCTGCCTGCCTGGATACAATCATGAATTATTTAAAGCCTTTTAATCCTCTGATTTGCACAGATAGGACTGTCAATAATGGTGTAGCAGGGACAATGCATGCAAAAATGGAGGCTCTAGACCCTTCCAGAGCGGAGATATTGAGGTCCCACGGAGCATTTATGCCATTATAAATATCTCAGCTCTGGAAGGGTCTAGAGCCTCAATTTTTGCACTCATGTCTAACTCTCAAGGCCCTCTATCAGAATCCAGAGTTTTGAGAAGCGCAAAGCGCAAAGATGGAGGCTCTAGACCCTTCCAGAGCTGAGATATCGAAACTCAAAATTTCGACCCGAAAAAAAAACGACAGTGTTACCCCTTACGTTTTTTTCGTTTTCGGGCGAAAAATCAAGTTTCTCCAATCTTCTCAAAACTCTGGATTATGATAGAGGGCCGCGAGACTTTGCCCTGAGCGCAAAAATGGAGGCTCTAGACCCTTCCAGAGCTGAGATATCGAAACTCAAAATTTCGACCCGAAAAAAAAACGACAGTGTTACCCCTTACGTTTTTTTGCGTTTTCGGGCGAAAAATCAAGTTTCTCCAATCTTCTCAAAACTCTGGATTATGATAGAGGGCCGCGAGACTTTGACCTGAGCGCAAAAATGGAGGCTCTAGACCCTTCCAGAGCTGAGATATCGAAACTCAAAATTTCGACCCGAAAAAAAAACGACAGTGTTACCCCTTACGTTTTTTTTCGTTTTCGGGCGAAAAATCAAGTTTCTCCAATCTTCTCAAAACTCTGGATTATGATAGAGGGCCGCGAGACTTTGACCTGAGCGCAAAAATGGAGGCTCTAGACCCTTCCAGAGCTGAGATATCGAAACTCAAAATTTCGACCCGAAAAAAAAAACGACAGTGTTACCCCTTACGTTTTTTTGCGTTTTCGGGCGAAAAATCAAGTTTCTCCAATCTTCTCAAAACTCTGGATTATGATAGAGGGCCGCGAGACTTTGACCTGAGCGCAAAAATGGAGGCTCTAGACCCTTCCAGAGCTGAGATATCGAAACTCAAAATTTCGACCCGAAAAAAAAACGACAGTGTTACCCCTTACGTTTTTTTGCGTTTTCGGGCGAAAAATCAAGTTTCTCCAATCTTCTCAAAACTCTGGATTATGATAGAGGGCCGCGAGACTTTGACCTGAGCGCAAAAATGGAGGCTCTAGACCCTTCCAGAGCTGAGATATCGAAACTCAAAATTTCGACCCGAAAAAAAAAACGACAGTGTTACCCCTTACGTTTTTTTGCGTTTTCGGGCGAAAAATCAAGTTTCTCCAATCTTCTCAAAACTCTGGATTATGATAGAGGGCCGCGAGACTTTGACCTGAGCGCAAAAATGGAGGCTCTAGACCCTTCCAGAGCTGAGATATCGAAACTCAAAATTTCGACCCGAAAAAAAAACGACAGTGTTACCCCTTACGTTTTTTTGCGTTTTCGGGCGAAAAATCAAGTTTCTCCAATCTTCTCAAAACTCTGGATTATGATAGAGGGCCGCGAGACTTTGACCTGAGCGCAAAAATGGAGGCTCTAGACCCTTCCAGAGCTGAGATATCGAAACTCAAAATTTCGACCCGAAAAAAAAACGACAGTGTTACCCCTTACGTTTTTTTGCGTTTTCGGGCGAAAAATCAAGTTTCTCCAATCTTCTCAAAACTCTGGATTATGATAGAGGGCCGCGAGACTTTGACCTGAGCGCAAAAATGGAGGCTCTAGACCCTTCCAGAGCTGAGATATCGAAACTCAAAATTTCGACCCGAAAAAAAAACGACAGTGTTACCCCTTACGTTTTTTTGCGTTTTCGGGCGAAAAATCAAGTTTCTCCAATCTTCTCAAAACTCTGGATTATGATAGAGGGCCGCGAGACTTTGACCTGAGCGCAAAAATGGAGGCTCTAGACCCTTCCAGAGCTGAGATATCGAAACTCAAAATTTCGACCCGAAAAAAAAACGACAGTGTTACCCCTTACGTTTTTTTTCGTTTTCGGGCGAAAAATCAAGTTTCTCCAATCTTCTCAAAACTCTGGATTATGATAGAGGGCCGCGAGACTTTGACCTGAGCGCAAAAATGGAGGCTCTAGACCCTTCCAGAGCTGAGATATCGAAACTCAAAATTTCGACCCGAAAAAAAAACGACAGTGTTACCCCTTACGTTTTTTCGTTTTCGGGCGAAAAATCAAGTTTCTCCAATCTTCTCAAAACTCTGGATTATGATAGAGGGCCGCGAGACTTTGACCTGAGCGCAAAAATGGAGGCTCTAGACCCTTCCAGAGCTGAGATATCGAAACTCAAAATTTCGACCCGAAAAAAAAACGACAGTGTTACCCCTTACGTTTTTTTTCGTTTTCGGGCGAAAAATCAAGTTTCTCCAATCTTCTCAAAACTCTGGATTATGATAGAGGGCCGCGAGACTTTGACCTGAGCGCAAAAATGGAGGCTCTAGACCCTTCCAGAGCTGAGATATCGAAACTCAAAATTTCGACCCGAAAAAAAAACGACAGTGTTACCCCTTACGTTTTTTTTCGTTTTCGGGCGAAAAATCAAGTTTCTCCAATCTTCTCAAAACTCTGGATTATGATAGAGGGCCGCGAGACTTTGACCTGAGCGCAAAAATGGAGGCTCTAGACCCTTCCAGAGCTGAGATATCGAAACTCAAAATTTCGACCCGAAAAAAAAACGACAGTGTTACCCCTTACGTTTTTTTTCGTTTTCGGGCGAAAAATCAAGTTTCTCCAATCTTCTCAAAACTCTGGATTATGATAGAGGGCCGCGAGACTTTGACCTGAGCGCAAAAATGGAGGCTCTAGACCCTTCCAGAGCTGAGATATCGAAACTCAAAATTTCGACCCGAAAAAAAAACGACAGTGTTACCCCTTACGTTTTTTTTCGTTTTCGGGCGAAAAATCAAGTTTCTCCAATCTTCTCAAAACTCTGGATTATGATAGAGGGCCGCGAGACTTTGACCTGAGCGCAAAAATGGAGGCTCTAGACCCTTCCAGAGCTGAGATATCGAAACTCAAAATTTCGACCCGAAAAAAAAACGACAGTGTTACCCCTTACGTTTTTTTCGTTTTCGGGCGAAAAATCAAGTTTCTCCAATCTTCTCAAAACTCTGGATTATGATAGAGGGCCGCGAGACTTTGACCTGAGCGCAAAAATGGAGGCTCTAGACCCTTCCAGAGCTGAGATATCGAAACTCAAAATTTCGACCCGAAAAAAAAAACGACAGTGTTACCCCTTACGTTTTTTTTCGTTTTCGGGCGAAAAATCAAGTTTCTCCAATCTTCTCAAAACTCTGGATTATGATAGAGGGCCGCGAGACTTTGACCTGAGCGCAAAAATGGAGGCTCTAGACCCTTCCAGAGCTGAGATATCGAAACTCAAAATTTCGACCCGAAAAAAAAACGACAGTGTTACCCCTTACGTTTTTTTGCGTTTTCGGGCGAAAAATCAAGTTTCTCCAATCTTCTCAAAACTCTGGATTATGATAGAGGGCCGCGAGACTTTGACCTGAGCGCAAAAATGGAGGCTCTAGACCCTTCCAGAGCTGAGATATCGAAACTCAAAATTTCGACCCGAAAAAAAAACGACAGTGTTACCCCTTACGTTTTTTTTCGTTTTCGGGCGAAAAATCAAGTTTCTCCAATCTTCTCAAAACTCTGGATTATGATAGAGGGCCGCGAGACTTTGACCTGAGCGCAAAAATGGAGGCTCTAGACCCTTCCAGAGCTGAGATATCGAAACTCAAAATTTCGACCCGAAAAAAAAACGACAGTGTTACCCCTTACGTTTTTTTTCGTTTTCGGGCGAAAAATCAAGTTTCTCCAATCTTCTCAAAACTCTGGATTATGATAGAGGGCCGCGAGACTTTGACCTGAGCGCAAAAATGGAGGCTCTAGACCCTTCCAGAGCTGAGATATCGAAACTCAAAATTTCGACCCGAAAAAAAAACGACAGTGTTACCCCTTACGTTTTTTTCGTTTTCGGGCGAAAAATCAAGTTTCTCCAATCTTCTCAAAACTCTGGATTATGATAGAGGGCCGCGAGACTTTGACCTGAGCGCAAAAATGGAGGCTCTAGACCCTTCCAGAGCTGAGATATCGAAACTCAAAATTTCGACCCGAAAAAAAAAACGACAGTGTTACCCCTTACGTTTTTTTTCGTTTTCGGGCGAAAAATCAAGTTTCTCCAATCTTCTCAAAACTCTGGATTATGATAGAGGGCCGCGAGACTTTGACCTGAGCGCAAAAATGGAGGCTCTAGACCCTTCCAGAGCTGAGATATCGAAACTCAAAATTTCGACCCGAAAAAAAAACGACAGTGTTACCCCTTACGTTTTTTTCGTTTTCGGGCGAAAAATCAAGTTTCTCCAATCTTCTCAAAACTCTGGATTATGATAGAGGGCCGCGAGACTTTGACCTGAGCGCAAAAATGGAGGCTCTAGACCCTTCCAGAGCTGAGATATCGAAACTCAAAATTTCGACCCGAAAAAAAAACGACAGTGTTACCCCTTACGTTTTTTTTTTTCGGGCGAAAAATCAAGTTTCTCCAATCTTCTCAAAACTCTGGATTATGATAGAGGGCCGCGAGACTTTGACCTGAGCGCAAAAATGGAGGCTCTAGACCCTTCCAGAGCTGAGATATCGAAACTCAAAATTTCGACCCGAAAAAAAAACGACAGTGTTACCCCTTACGTTTTTTTTCGTTTTCGGGCGAAAAATCAAGTTTCTCCAATCTTCTCAAAACTCTGGATTATGATAGAGGGCCGCGAGACTTTGACCTGAGCGCAAAAATGGAGGCTCTAGACCCTTCCAGAGCTGAGATATCGAAACTCAAAATTTCGACCCGAAAAAAAAACGACAGTGTTACCCCTTACGTTTTTTTCGTTTTCGGGCGAA